GACCCCTGGCTTGGGAACCCAAGGCTGGACCAGACCCTGCCATGGTATATGGCAGGCAACAGCAAAATTGGGGGGTTGAGGGGGATTCTTACAATCAAGGATGAAGGGCAGAACGTCATGGGCTGCTGAAGCTATGGCCTCACTACAGACAGGAGGGGCTGCGGGGGCTGCGGGGCCCCGGGGCCGGAGTTGCCCGAGCCTCAGGCTGAACTTTGTGTCCTTTTATGGCTGGAAACGCCCAGGGTGCTTGGCAACCTGTGAGCACATCAGGAGCGAGTACTCATGGGGGACAGGGTGGCAGACAGGGTTCTGCTGTGAGATAAAGGTGCCTGAGCAGGAATGGGGGCCTGTGGGGGGATTGGAAGGATCCCGCCTCCCTCAGGCCTCCTGGCACCTGCACTCCCCTCCCACCCTGACCAGGAACCCCAGACCCCCTGTGTGTTGGGGGCCAGCCTAGACAGGAGGGGCCGGGAGGGAAGCCCCTGTCTGCCAGCTTCAAACGAAGCCTGTGTTGTCTCCAGCCACCTGCTGAGGGCCATGCCAGGGCCCCCAGAGCACAGAGGTGGGGTGTAGAGGCAGGGCCACGAGCGGCCGTTGCAGGGCAGGAGAAGTCTGCAGGCCTGGCAGCCACACTACCTCCTTTTAACCTCATGGCGTGAACCCGGCTGTTAGAGCAGCCGGACAGGTGGACATTGGGGCATCCGGGCCGAGCGTTGAGGGACAGGCCCTGCTCCGCTGCTGACGCAGGAGGGCAGAGTAGGTCAGGCGAGGAAGGGCACCTGACAACCTCCAAGTGCGAAAGCGACCACGTCCTCAGAGACCCGGGGGGTGTGGAGGCGTGTCCTGAGCGAGTCCAAGACCCCACCGAGAGCCTCAGTACTTGTCAGGGAACCTGCCAGAGGGCACTGCCCGTGAGTCTAGGATGAGAAGGCAGTGCCTGCGGCACCCCACAGCCTCCAGGTTTATTTACTACAAAACAAACAAACAAATAAAAAACGGACTGAGAACTGGGGGCCGGGTGGGGGCCGGAGGGGTCAAGGTCACCATCTCTGCAAAGTGATGAAGGGCGCAGAGACACAAAGGTCAACAGGCCCAGCTGCCCTGACACTTAGAAGAAGAACGAGGAGTTGACCCCAATCAGAACAGCAAGCGGGCAGCCCCCACGGTGTGCTTCGGTCGAAATCAGGAATGACATGCATGCGCCGTGGGAAAAAAGCCGGAAAAACACTCGAATACAGGGACAGCCCGGCAACCTCCTGAGAGACAGGATCCTGTCTGGGAGCCAATTTACCCAGATTAAGTTTATCCGTTTAGCGGAATTCCAATAAAACATCCATTTACAAAATTTAGGTGAAATTCATATAATAAAAGTTACCATTTTAAAGTGAACAATTTAATGGCATTTTGCACTTTCACAGTGTTGTACAACTACCAGCTCTATGTCTAGAATATTCTCATGATCCCCAAAGAAACCCAGGACCCCATTAGCAGTCACTCCAAAACCCCTACCCCAAATATCAAGTGTTTGCACATATCAAGGAAGAGATCCTCTGATCTCCCCCAAGGCAGGGGTCATGGGAGGGAGGTTTGCTCAGGTGGAGCCCCTGCCCCCCCAACTATGGGACCCATCCAGGCACCCAAATGGTGCCCTCAGACCTCCATCAGCACAAATCTGGCAAATGCATAGCTGCCACCTCATCTCCAGACACAGCCTGAAGGAGGGGAGAAGAAGGGCCGGGCACAGGGGGAGCAAGGTGCCTGGAGTGGCATGAGTGTCCCAGGACAGGGAGGAGCAGGGGAGCACCCCTCAGGCTCCTGGGCAGTCTAGGACCCTTAAGGTAAGGTCCCCATCTGGGCAGAGACCCCATCATTCAATGTCAGTTATTCATTCAACAAACACCTTTCAGAGCTGTGGTAGCTGGACCAGCCCTCAGGAGCTAGGGGATGGCATCGGCCCGTCTATACAGGGCAGGGCAGTGCCCTTGGGCTTGATGGAAAGGAGGTGGGGGGGGGCTTGGGGAGGCCCCCTCGACCCCAGCAGCCAAAGTGGAAGAGGGCTGGTGGGTCATGGATCCAGCTGTCTCTCCAGGTCCTCACCTCCATCCAGCCCTGGGCTCCACGGTTCTGCGGGAGCCCTGATCAGTATCTTTCAGTCGCTAGGGCACCCCCCAAGGACATTACAGATCTCCGTGGCCCCGGGTTCCTGTAGCAAGTCCTTCCTGATGTCTCCCCTTCCTCTGCTTGTTGTTCTGCCCTGGAACCCACCCAGGGCACCCGGACATAGCTCCTGCTGATAGGGGCTGGGCCGGGAGTGCAACCTCGGTTAACCACAGGGCAGATCGACCTTGGTTTCCCTCATGGTGGGGATGCAACACCTGCTCTGCGTGCGGGGCTATGCACCACACGCCCACCCTGTGCCCGGCCCCGCCAGGCAAACAGAGCCCTCCTGCCTCTGCGCCCCACCCCCGAGGCAGCCGGATTTCCTGAGCAAGGTCATTGTGGAAGCCACTGGAGCCCATTGGCCAATAAAACCCATCGATGCAGAGAGAGAGCCCATAAAACAGGTCACCCTCCCCAGAGGGTACGTGCTCTGTGTCACCCCCACCCCACTCAGGGCTGGGACAGGACCTGCAAGCAGTGTGGCTCTGTCCGAAGGCTGTGCTGGGTGTGGGAGGGCAGCAGGGCTCCCACCGGCTCCCAGGGCTCATGCTCCCCTTGGGGCACTCCTGCTCTGCCCCTTGCAGGCCTTGGGGGAGGGTCCTCATTCCCTCCTGCTCAGTGGCCCACCCTCACCCAGGCATCTGCAACTGTCCACACTAGCCAAGCCTCTCCTCACTCCCACAGACCCGGGGTCCACAGGCTGCCCGGAACCCCCTGGAACATCCCACAGGCTCCCCACACTGGGTCCATCAGGCCCCAGGCACAAACACACACATACACACACTCACACCCCCCCCCCTCAGGCAGGAACAGATCAGGGTGCTGCTGGCATCTGTACACCCCACATGGTATTCTCAGCTGGCATGGCCTTGGGGAGGGAGCTCGTGCAGTTCAATCAATTGGGGGAAATTGATCTGGGCAAGATTTCCGAGCCATCTGCTCACTCCCAGAGTCATTTTGATCCCAGGGAGGCCTGATCATGGGGTGGGGACAGCAGGTTGGGCTGGCCTGTTTCTCCTGGGGCACCCACCGCTCCCCGGGATGCCGGTCCCTAGAGTGGGTGATGGTGGGTTTGGCCACCAGGTCCCAGTGATTCCAATCCCAGGCTCTGTGGACCCCACATGGAGGAGCCGCCCCCACTCCTTGAAACTGATCCCAGGAGTCGGGGAGACTCAGCCTGGGTCCCTCACGGCAGCCAGGTCCCCACACCCAACAACCACGGAAGGAGCTGACCCCCAGCCCCCATCCTTAGAGGCCAAATTCAGATCCCGCCCCTCCCAGGAAGTGAGAGGGGCTGCCCCTGCCCAGCCCAAGGCAAAGGCCCATCAATTCTTTTAATCCCTATTGTTTACACCTTCCATGATGGCATCATCTAAGTGCCCACCGATCACTTCTGGCTGGTGTTTGCCCACCCCCGTCCTGCCTCCTCCGATCCACGAGCTCTGATTTGCATTGGCTTCTTGGCTCCGGGCACAATATTTGCTTTGGGAAAGAGTCAAACCTTTATTCTCTAATTTATTCAGGAGAGTGGTTGTCAAACACCAGCGCCCTCATTACACCGCCGTGTTTCCCGGGTTTGGCCTCTGTCTGGGATCGGTGGGGTCGGTGGGGAGGCCCAGCAGTGCTGTCTGGCCTTTCCCTGCCCAGCACAGCTCCCCCTGCCCCTTGTGCCCTCCTGAGGTTGGGTTCCTGCTCTGGGCTGACAGAAGCTCGAGTGAGGTGGCACTGGCAGGGGGTCTGCTGGTTGAGTCAGCCCTGTACCCTGGTCCTTTTCCTTCCAGCCTTGGATAGAGGCCAACGGCACCAGGACCCCAGCAAGGCTCAGGCAGTCCTCCCTGGAACCCCGTTGTGGGCCTGAGTAGGGGGAATTGCTGGTACTTCTGGAGGGTCAATGGGGCCACTCTCGTCTGGGGGATGCGGAATTCCTCAGGGGCCTGGCATTTGCTGGCATTTGCATCTACCCACACAGCCTTTCTAGGCCGGCTGCTATTTGCACTGAAAGGCCGCTCCCCGCACTGCTGTCTGGATATTTCTCCTCTTCTGCTTTCATCCCCCTCCCTCTCCAGCCCAAAGCCCCTGCTGTGAGCAGAAGAGAGAGCTATAGGTTCCATGTCCTCACTGGCCCCTCCCAGGACAGCCCCTCCCAGTGACCTAGGCCCCCTGCACTGAGCCCCTCTGGACACCTGTGCCCCCACCCACAAACCCAGAAACCTGGGGCTGACAGTCCACCCCCAACCTCGGCTCCTCCCTCTCCCTCTGTACTTGCTGCTTTCCCCACCCAACCCCACCATGGAAGCCATGGCTCCGCCCCTCGCTGCCCCCAGGGGACTGTGGGTAGCAGGAAGGGAGGTGCAGCAGCAGGGGTGGGCCAGCTGCTGAGTCTCCTCTGGCATCCCTCACCCGTTGTCACTGCCCGGGGCATTTGCAGCTTCTGTTCTTCACACCTGCCATGTCCAACGTCAACAAGCTACCAGGAGCCGGGAGCCAGGGGGCATAGGCCAGAAACCAGCACAGCGGAGTCTTTAATTTCATGGTGTAGCACTTGACGCTGACCAGGTGGCTGACCAGGTGGCACTGGGCTGACAAGAGGGTGGAGGCTGGGGGGGTGGTCACCCTCTCACACTCATGACCACTCCCCTGGCCTGGGAGGCTGACACAGGCTGGGGCAGGACCAGAGGGTCGAGATGCCCTGACCATTGCCTGGAACCCCTGGGCCTCTGCCACCCACCCCCTAAGGCCCCGTGACCCCAGCTTGCCCAACAAGAACAGACAGGTGGAGTGGCAGCTTGTCACGGCAGGACCACCCACAGCCTCATTCCAGACAGCTGCCCTCACGCCTCGAAGAGTATTCAGGCTGCAGGGGAGCACCTCAGCAGGTCCCCAAATCTCAGGGAAGGGCTCGGCCCAGCAGGAAACCCAGACCGGGTGGGGCAGGGGTGCCGGGCGTGGCCCATCAGCACCCCTCACAACCTACTGGTCTGCATGAGCCCGTTGGCCTCTGAGCTGCATGCAGCCAGCGTGGCCTCCTGTAGCCGGCTGCTCTTGTCAGGCCGCGGCTCCGTGGCATCCACGTCCTCGGTGCCATAGCCCTTTCGGAAGCACAGAACCTTCCGGAAGCTCTGGCGGAAGTTGTCAGAGAGGAAGCCATAGAGCACAGGGTTGGCACAGCTGTTGGCGTAGGACAGGATGACCACGAAGAAGTAGACACCCGCGGCGGCGGGCTCCTCGGGCAGGACGATGGCCAGGTTGACGATGTTGATGATGAAGAAGGGCAGCCAGCAGCCCACGAACACCAGCACCACCACCACCACCATGCGTGTCACCTTGCGCTCCGAGCGCCGCCGTGTGGAGCCCACGCGCACGCCGGACGCCTTCACCTTCACCACGATGAGCAGGTAGCACAGGCAGATGACCAGCAGCGGCCCGAAGAAGCCCAGGACGGACGTGTAGATGATGAAGACGGCGCCCCACAGGCCCACGGGCTCCGGCCAGCTGAGGTTGCAGGTGTCCCAGCCCTCCTGGATGTCCGCGAAGACCACCAGGGGCAGAGACATGAGCAGCGAGAAGGCCCAGACCGCGGCGCTGGCCAGCTTGGCCACCCGTGGGCGGCGCCACTGCGTGGAGCGGATGGGGTGCACAACGGCCAGGTAGCGGTCCACGCTCATGATGGTCAGGCAGAAGATGCTGGTGAACTGGTTGATGCCGTCCAGCGTCATCACCAGGCGGCACAGCACGGGGCCAAAGGGCCAGTAGGAGACGGCGTTCTGTGTGGCCAGGAAGGGCAGGCCCAGCATGAGGAGCACGTCGGCCACCGCCAGGTTGAGGATGTAGATGTTGGTGACTGTCTTCATCTTGGCGTGGCGCAGCACCACGTAGATGACCAGCGCGTTGCCCCCCAGCCCCACCACGCACACCAGCAAGTAGAGCACCGGCACCACCACCGCTCGGGCCCCCGGCGAGGATGCGGGCCCCGCCATTGTCCCGTTCTCCCCGCCGCCGCTGGTGGCCGCTGAGGTGTTCCAGGCGGCTGGTCTGGAGGTGGGGAACAGCGGTTCCATCGCCACCAAGGGCAGGGGACTGTCCTCTCTGCAGGAGCAGAAGGAAGGATGCTGGCAATTAATCGGACAGCCAGGCCCTTCCTCCCCCCGGCCCCGCCCGCCTGCCCCAGGAGGCGCAGGATTACCCCACGTCGCAGGGTAAACACGATTACTCATGTTCAACTTGGCTGGGAATCACATTAAGCAAATTGTTTGGAAAACAAGCCCGGAGAGGAAGGAGCAGGGAGATAGAGATAGCTGCCATGAGCGGAGACATTGACATGTCGTCCGATGATACTGCAATGACTCGCAGAGACCTCACCGCCCCTACGCCCCCCACCTCCCTGGATGGTTCCCGGAGCCTGAGGCCAGCCCCTCTCCCTGCAGCAGCACCACGACCCCACCTCACAGGTAAGGGACTGAGTATGGCAGGTGTCACCTCCTCGAGGACTCTCAGGGACCCTCCTCAGGGACAGAGGGAGTAATTAGCCGGCCCAGACATCGGCTGGGCACCGCAAGTCCCTCACACCCAACCGGTGCCACCTGGAAGTGCAGCAACGCCTGCCAAGCCCTGCTCTCCTGCGTGACCCCAAAGCCGGACTCTGGGTGACCTCCTTAACCATCAGGAGGGAGCCAGGCCTCGCCTGTGGCCAAGAAGCCAGACCTCGGGCTGCAGAGGCTTTGCCAGCGTCCACCTGGCTCCCAGGAACACTGTCCCCTGGTAAGCGGCATCCGTGCCACCGCGGCAGAGCCCCAGCCACGTGGTCCAAGAGGAGTTGGTTTCCCTGCCCCCACAGCTGCCAGCCAGCCCACTCGCTGCAGCAGGGATGTCACTCTGCGAAGGAAATGACCCGAGAAACCGCTGGACAATGTGCTAGCATCGCGGCCGCGAGGGACACACTCCGAGTGCTCTGTGGTGGGCTCACCACCTCCACGGCAATGGCGGCATTTCCTCAGCCTCAGGCAGAGGCCGCCATGCTGGAGCAGGCAGAACGGACCCCCCCCCCCCCCCCCCCCACACACACACACGTTGTAAATAGGGAACACAAAGTGGACAGAGTACTGGTAAATACCGCTGATAGCTCGTGCCGCAGGGCAGGAGGAAATGCATGTGTGGGCGCGCAAGGCACATGCGTGTAAAGGAGACAGGGAGCGTGAACAGGGAGAGTGTGAAAGGGGGCGATTCGGGGAGACTGCGTGGAAGGAAGGACTTCAGCTGTGTGATGGGTTTTGTAGAAAAAGAGCTGAGGCAAAGACAGGGACCATGAACCCCTGCCGCTCAAGGTGATCAGCGCGCGCGCGTTTGTTGTAGAGGTTCTGTATTTTTCTGTGTGTTTAGGGTAGTTCACAAAAATGGTGACGATGACAAAATAAACACCTCCATTGACAAGAGAGAAAGGAGAAAGGGGACACAGGTATAGCTGATGTCTCAGGCCCCCAAGGGATGGGGAGTTAGCGGGGGCCCAGACAAGACCCCGAAAGGGGCTGGAAAAGGCCATGATGACCCAGCCAGGGCCGCTCGGGCCCAGCAGCCCCCTGGAGCCTTGCTCCGCTAGCCCAGTGCCCCCGAGTCACCTCAGAACAGAGGATGCGCCCAGCAGCTGCTGGTTCTGAGTTTGGGGAGGCGGCTGAAATCTGATAGACAAGTGTTGGGGGAAGGGCAAGCCCAGGATAATTAACATTGACAACGACAGAAAGAAACCCTGTTCTCTCGTGGGCAGCACACTAGCTTTGCCAAGTCCACTTGGCTGACCGACGCTAGGAAGCATGACCTAGAAAATCAACAGGGGAAAGCTGGCCCAGCAGATTCATTTCGGGTGAAATAATAATACTATGACTGAATAATCATGTCCAAACTGTGTTCGACATGTGTAGGATCCTCCATGAGGCCTGGATAAAACTATTGTGAAGCAAATGTGGCTTCCTGTTAAGAAGTAAATGGACAAGTGTGCTAGGTATGTTTTTGAAAAATGACAACTCTTGGGTGTGGAAAACCATCGTTTGGGGCGGGGGGGGTGTATCCAGTCTGGATACAGTTGAAGAGAGAATCGGGGAATCGGAGAGGAGCTGAGGGAGTTCTTCAGGACGTGGTGCAGAGAGGAGGAGATGGCAGAGGGCTCTGAGCCCTGGGGGGCGTGCACAGGCCCATCATTCGGAGGATGGCTGGGCCCCTGTGGAACTGACCAAAGACAAGAGTCCTGCTCAGAAGCACAGACCTGTCGGGAACAGAATAAAGGAAGTGTAAGATAGTGTCAGAACGTTAAGGAGAAGGAGGAAATCCCGAAGAACGCCCATCGGGAGGCGAGAGGAAACCTCGAGGCGTGAGGACCAGGGGGGCTGTGCGGCTCAGGGGCCACAGAAGCTGGCGGGAGAGGGGACGTGTAACCTGAATCCCTCACCAGGAGGGAGAGAGACATTGTCTGTGTTTTGCTGGATTGGTTGCTCCTGGCGCCAAGCACCCCTTGCTGTGTGTTGTGCCCTGGTGGGAAGCATGTGACAAAAACCCTATGCAAAAAGGGCAAAAGTATGATGTTTGGGGACAACTGCATTTCAAGACAAAGGGGTCCCTTGGGCGGTGCTCCGAGCCCTCCGTCAGAGGGTGCTGCCAGGTGGGGGGAGCCCACACTCCCCCAGGGTGTGCCCGCCTGGGAGGAGGGTCTTTCAGACTCTCAGGGTTGCCTAAGGCGCGCTCCTGTAAGAGGGGACTCAGCCTGCTGAGCTTGGCTCCCCATGCCTGGCCCAAAGGGGCCCCTCCTCACACTTAAAAGAAATACCCAAGGGGCTTTGGGCCCATTCTACTTGGGACCAAACGGGGCGCTGTGGGGAGAAGGAGCCCCCAAAGGTGTTCTGTTCACCCTGTCGGGGGGTGCGGGGCTCAGATGTATCTGGGGCCTGGGTTTCCAGGCTGCTGTGGCTGAGTGTGCCTTCGATTCTCAATCAGATACACATCTTGTCTTCACGAAGCTCTCAGCTGCTCAGGGCTCCTGCCAGGTGCCCAGGCCGCCCAGAACCCAAAGTGGGCAGAGCAGACTGCCAGCCCCCCCACCGCCACCCTCCCAAACACCCCACCTCCTGGTTAGACTCAAGAGCGATGCAGAACAAAATTAGGCCACTGTTACTGAGTCTGCCTCTTAGAACATTATTCCACAAGGGCCATTATTCAGAAGTTGCCATTTTAGTCACAGAAATTACACGCTCATGGAAAAATTGTCTCTGAGACCCCTTCCCCTGTGGATGGGGGATTCAGTAGGGGGGGGGGCTGTGGAACTGACCATGAACCAATGCTGGGGGCTGACTCAGACCTCCCACCAGGAAGGGAGCGCCCAACCCACTCATGTGGCACAGGGAACACACCGCGGTCCCTCCATCCCCTGCCCCAGTACACCCACCGCACGGCCCCAGCGACCCTGGGTAAGTCATGCCCCTTCTCTGAGCCCTGGCTTCCTGTAACAGGTGAGTCCTGTAACATGCAATGTCGCTGAACAGATTCAGCACGCTCAGGTGTGCAGGACGCTGCCCGCAGTGGCGGCACACAATGGGTTCTCCAGAATTGCTGCCACTCGCCTGCCCCAAACAGCCCAGCATCTCCTCCCCAGAGCTCCTTGGAGAAGTGGGCAGAGCCTTCCCAGGGGCCTGGGCACAGAGATGGGCCTCAGTGCTTCAGCACTCCATGCCAGAGTGAGGTCCGGCCT